CTCTTTCCCCACAAAAAACGGAAAAAAAAAGACACTAAATAATGGAGCAGTTGTTGCCAACAACAAATAAAAACTAATAGTTGTTTTGTGGCATTTGCAGCCACAAAAGGGAAAGGAGAGGAGCATGAAATAAGTTCCGGTACAGCACTCATGCAGTAAGATCCTATAAGAAGGACAGATAGATTCTGAAACACAAATGGAAAAAAAGAAGTTTCCTTCTAATCCCAACATTAAATTTGTTGTGGAAGACAAATAAAGGAGGGAAAGTATTTCATGTTTCTGACACTGCAGAAAACATCAGGCAAAAAGAGACAATTTCTTGTTTTAGTGAAAATTATGCCTGCATTAAGAATAAATACTTCAAGGTTTTGGCCTTTAGAAAATATGCTCTTATAAATAAGTATATAAATAAAACTTGCTAATACGGATGCAAGGCTTATTATATCTATCCTGTTATACCTATCCTGAGCTAGCTTCTTAGAGCCAATCAAAATTATTCACCAGGTAAAAAAGTACACAACAATTTAGCCTTTTTTCTGTTTGCAAATCATTCAAGAACCACTGTGGAATTCTGAGTGGGCTGTTACTAAATATTCTCTAAATATTTTGGAAAAGCAATTTTCAGGCACTTGGTGATCTGAGAATAATTCACTTTGATTATTTTATATTCTTGACATAGGTATGATTCATTTATTGAAAGTCATGCTGTGGTGATTCTGACTTCTGATTTGGTGACTGAAACTTGTTAAACATGTAAGGAATAGAGATCAGCAAGTAAATGGTAATAGGTATATCATAATCATAATAATCATGATGAAAAATGGATACAGAATCATAGAGAAATCTTCATCAGCATTAAGTGTCTAAGAACAGCTTACTTAACACTCTTCATGCATGGTTAGGATGTCATATGGCGAAAACTGAAGAAGTCACAGACAAAAGCAAAAAATGCAACATATGTACTGAGACTATACTGCACAGAGTCAGCAGTTGTTTGATGCTGGCACAACGTGTGTAGTATGGAAGATATTTAGGCATTAGGACCTGTGCACCCAATAACATCTCTCAAAAGGTTAAAAGTCCTGAGAGCATAAAACTGACTTACTAACAGGAGACAATGATGTGAAGATTCTTGTGATTAGAAGGAAAATAAATGGAGCAAGACTTTATGATAGAAGGGATCATATTTATGAAGCCAAAAAAATCAACAGTAAGCAACTCTCAAAATTTCAGACCTGTAACATGCCTGTCAACTGCTAGCAAAACCTTTATTGCCAGGATAGGTTAAAAAAAGGAACTAGCCTTTATCTACGAACAGCTGGGCACTTAAGCAAAATGGCTGTACTTAGGATTGAAGAGAAC